AACATGTGGTGAACTTGCAAGATAGTTCAACGTTTCTGATGAAACAGTTAGACATCACCTGCACCGGCTAGGTAAGACGTACAAACTAAGCAAGTGGGTTCCTCAAACGCTGTTGGAGATCCACAAGGGACAACGAGTGGCAGCCTGCGTATCGCTGCTTTCTCGCCACCGTACCGCATCTTTATTCAATCGAGTGCTTACCAGTGATGAAAAGTGGGTTCTGTACGAAACTCCCAAGCGTTCCAGACATTGGCTGTCTCCTCAGGATGCTGTCCTTCACACCGCAAGACCACATATACACCCACACAAGATTATGCTTTGTGTCTGGTGGACAGGTCGTCAAGTGGTTCATTATGAACTGCTACTAACGGGCAAAACGGTTACTGGAGACCTATACTCGCAGCAGTTGAACCACACCTTGGATAATCATCTTCGTGGAAATCCTTCACCAATGAAGCAGACTTGCGCAAAGACCTCCCGGACTTCTTTGCATCAAAACCCCCCGAGTTCTACCACAAGGGCATTGAACAGCTGGAGACACGTTGGCAGAAGGTGCTGGATGCCGATGGCGATTACTTCGAAGACTAAATATAAGTTACACATACTGTGAAGCGTTTTTTTTTTCCTTTAAAAACGGACAGAAGTTTTTTTTTTTATATATATATATATATATATATATATATATATATATATATATATATATATATATATTATACTAATAGTTATACTCGGTTGGTAAAAAAAACTCAGATAACACAACTTGCAAGTATATCAAAACAAACAGGTAGGTTGTTCCTGCCTCTTTAGGATTTTTATTATATATATATATATATATATATATATATATATATATATATATATATATATATATATAAATAAAAAGAACAGTAAGATATAAAATCCGGTGTTCTTATAGTTATTTTTATTTTACAAAATAGTGCTCAATGTAAATTTATTAAATATATATATATATATATATATATATATATATATATATATATATATATATATATAAATTTTTACAGATCAATGATAGCTTCTTTTTTCATCTTCCTTTATATATCGAGAAAGAAAGAAGAAAAAGGAAGCCAACATTAATCTATAAAAATTTAAATGCAATGCCAATCGTTATCTACTGCCCCCCCCGATTACTCTTCTTTTCTTCCTGCTCATTATTAATTATTCTGTTCCTAATCCTTCCACAGCCTGTAACTCTTTCTGTCTTAGTGGCTTTACTGCCTTGCAAGGGGTGATAACGATTAAAAAGAAGAAAAATAAAGAAAATGAATGCGATGAAACATTTAATAAAATAAAGAAGTCAAAAATTTCAAATTATTTTATTTTCACTTGTCTCTCTCGAATTACATTAAAAATTACAAACATTTTAAGAATTATTGGGAAAATAAACAATCTCTACAAACTCTATTCTAATCTCCATGAACGGCACATTTTTTCTTTTTTTTGTACAGTTTTTCTCTTTCCGGAAAAAAATGAAATGATTAAAATGCATTTTTTTTACTCCATTTTAAAATATAAACATTAATTTATTTAAAATTTACAATCCATACGAGAAAAACGCGTTAAAATGTCTCCTACAATAATATGTATACATGTCATCATTTTCACTGACAAGTGAAACAAAACCACGTATCAAAAAGTCACTTATTGAAAACTTACGTACAAACTAAAGAAAGAAAGAAAGAAAGAAAGAAAGAAAGAAAGAAAGAAAGAAATATTTAGAAAAGAATCCTGAGTTCAAAAATGCGTCATTTGCACCTTTTTCCGATTACATTAAAACTTAAAAATATTCTCAAAATTACTTGGAAAATTTTTAAAAAAATCTTTAATCAAGCCAGGTAGACGTTTAAATGTAATCAGTTGAAATTCTGGATATTTGTTTAAATAGATTAAGAGACACGCTCTGATTCATGACACAGCCTTTGAAGATTGAACAAAATTGAATAGATTTGAGTTTAAGGCGATAAACTAAAAACAAAATGAATGAAAAAAAACAAAGCTTGTAATCACGGTTATAAAATCTGACGCACATTTCACTATGGCGTTACATTTAATATAAAGCCATTTCTGTAATACATACGAGCTATAATATAAATGCATACATATATGTATGTGTCTGTGCGTCTGTTTACTAGTTCCTTAAAGATTCAAAGAAATTCACGATGTTTCGGCCGTTGTACGCTCTGGCATTCTTCAGGTTATATACATTGGAATTTCGAACCGAGCACTTTATGTCGTCGTCTGAGGTAGAGTGTTCTAGTTCCGAGTGTCATGCCTTCTCTGACTATGTCAGTTTTCAGTTATGTCAGTTTTAGTAACTCACCTCCCCAAGTTGTTTTTTAGGTCTTGAACTCAAAACTCTTTGGGTCAAGTCACTGGATTACTTCAACCAACGCTTTTATCCACCGAGCAATCCACTGACATATCCAGAAAATGCATGCCACGTGGAGCTAGAACAATCTACCAAGGGCGACGAAATAAACTGTTCGGTTCGAAATTCTAACGTATATCACCTGGATAAAACTGCCGAAACATCGCAAACATGGCAAATAGACCGAAAAAATATACACACACCAAAATGAATTTTAATTCGTTCCTGAAGCCCGTTCGTAACCCGAAATGTTCGTAACCTGAAATGTTCGTAACCCGAAATGTTCGTAACCTGAAATGTTCGTAACCCGAAGCTACTTTTCCAATAAGAATCAATGTAAAATGGATTAATCAGTTCCTGGTTCCACGATGATTACTTATCTAAACTTTAACAACAGAGCTTTGTGCGCAAGTTTATATACAAAACTAATGAAAATCATTAAATCTAAGAAAAAAAAATATAAACCCAATACTAAACAAATAAAATATAGACGAACATTTCAATTTTACAGTACCTGTAGTAATTTTCCAATCGCAGCTTAGATGTGGCACAAGGCCGAAAGTATTGAGCACCCAGTGAGGATCGAAGAGAGTTGATGGCGTAAGTGGAAGTGGAAGAAAAGAGATGTTATTGTATGGAAAAGGGAAGGAAAGATATGATCATCTCTTTATTTATAAGAATATTATTGATCGTTGGTTTTGCCATACTAAACTGAGTAGAAAGAGACAATATCATCAACAATTGTTTTTCTCTTAACTTTTCTTTTTTTCTTTACCAGTATCACTGCTAGATTTCTTTGGAGACATGACTAAGGACTAATGAAGAGAAAAATGGCACAGTACAATAAAATTGGAAAAGAAAAGCACAACAAAAAAATGTATGCAACACGGCGGTCGACAGAGAAATGATTACGTTCGAGTTAACTCAGTTCGTCTCAGTTCGACGATGTTGTTCGAAAAGCGAAATTTTGTTTGATAAACGAGGAATTTTCGTATCGAATATTCTGTTCGAAAACAGATTTGTTCGACAAGTGAGGCGTTCGAGAACCGAGATTATATATATATATATATATATATATATATATATATATATATATATATATATATATATATATATATATATATATATATGATAAGATAAATATAACATATAGGAAATGTTTATCAATCTAACATGTTTCACTTTTATTTAAGCTTCCTCGGAGAATAAGATATGGAGAAAAAGAAAAAGAAAATACCTCACTCGTTGATGAAGTTTTAATAAAAGTGAAACATGTTAGATTAATAAACGTTTCCGATTTGGTCTTTATCTTATAATTTTGTCGGATTTGCCATATTTGATTTCCATATTTGATTTATATTTTGCCCCAACTCATATATATACATATGTTTGTATGTGTGTGCTTGTGTGCGCGCGCGCGTGTGTGTGTACATCGGTGCTGCTCAAAGATAAAATCTATTCTGAAATGATGGTTATATTCGAAAAAAAAAACCAACAACACACATATATATATATATATATATATATATATATATATATATATATATATACAGAGAGAGGGGGAGGAGAGAGAATATCATTGTACATTTGTAAAAGCAATGAAAGCAGAGAGAAATAATGCGAAAACAAAGAAATATCCACTTATAAAGTTTGAATGAGCACCAAGATTCCTGATGTACCCCGTCTAACGTAGACCATGTCTTACAAAAATTAGACACGAAAAGACATCGCCTATCATCAGATATAGGTACGGAAGTAATTATAGGGTATGACTGAACTGGAATTTCACCTGCTTTTCAATCTTCATGAAACAAATCTGTGATAATATCACGTACACACACATAAATGCAGGTATCAACTGATGTACATATATATATATATATATATATATATATATATATATATATATATTTAGTTAGTTAGTGAAGATTTTTTAACAAATTTTAAAATTTCAACTGAAGAGATCTATTTAATTTTATTGTACTTTTCAATTTTTGAGATATTTAATTGTGCAACAATTTATTTGAAAATTGGGAAAATACAATAAATAATTATGCAGATAGATCTTGTCGGTTAAATTTAACAAAACTCATATATATATATATATATATATATATATATATATATATATATATATATATATATATATATATATATATATATATATATATATAATTTTATGTTTTATATATATTTATTTATTTATATGATAAAAATATGGTCTTAAGGAATGTTATGTTTATGGGTTAAAGTGCTCAATATCAGCGATATAGAATATGTAAAGGTCAACACCGAGCGGCGACAGTCTGTTTTATGCTGGGTGTTGACCTCGGTGTCCACTTTTTATATATATATATATATATATATATATATATATATATATATATATATATATATTCATGGTTATGCGTGAATACACCTTTATATAAAATAAATGGATAAAATGTCTATAGTGTATGTGTGTGTGTGTATCTGTGTGTGTGTGTGTGTGTGTGTGTGTGTGTGTGTGTGTGTGTGTGTTCAGGGATGCGTGCCTGTGTAAACAGCCATACACTTGAACAAGCTCTTAATCATGTATGATGAAAGTTATGTGCTTCAATTTTGACACGCTTTACCAAACTCCATATTTTATAGTTGGATTCATTGGTGAATCTTTTTTACAATTGAACGCTGTTGAAAATGCTTCACTGTTTCGCAATGTGAGAATCACCCTGTAAATAAGAAGAAAACAAAAGGACAATCAAATCCATTTTTGTATTAATTTATCTCGGTACATTTATTATTTTACCCCAGTACATCTATTAATTTACCCAGATACATGTATAAGTTTACCTCGGTGTATTTATCAATTTACCCCGGTACATGCATTAATTTACCTCCATACATGTATTATTTTACCCCAGTACATCTATTAATTTACTCCGATACACGTATTAATTTACCTTGATACATGTATTATTTTACCTCAGTACATGTATTAATTCATAATGAAAAAAGATTTTTCTATATTCATCAATGGTTTATCCATATTATCACAAACACCTTGTAGATATAATTATTTATTAAGTTTCTTTTTTTATTTACTGATGGTTCATTCAATAGAAATCCCAAAGACAACTCACTGTAAAAGATTACTGTGTGAGGGAGGTTAACACAGAATTAAGTGAACGTGTATGATAGATATCGTATGACCCTGGACTTAAAGATATCCAAATTGTAGTTGTGATGAAAGCATTCTCAAAATAACAGTTCTGAAGAAGCTAAGTGCAATTTTATTTTTTATCAAAGAAACATAGGGAATGCGGAGAATCTGCTACCATGAACATGATATGACGGAGATTAGCTGTGAAGGTCTGAACTGGTGGAACTAAGGAATTTAACTCTTCTGAACTTCTGCCATAGCTCGCCAATTCCAGTTTTGGCACTGATGTCCGTTCCACAACTCGTCTCCGTTCGCCTAAAACCCTATGATTACGTTATTCTAATATTTAAGCCAGTTAATGATGATATACATACCTCGCAATTGCTGGCGAATGTGGATCTGCCAGTAACTGGTGAATCAAAGCCTTAGGCTGTATCTTGCGACACCATATCTGTAAAGCAAATAGAATTGTTTTTTTTATTACACGAGCTGAACGCCACTAATAGTCGACTGAAAATTTCAATCTAACCCATATTTGGAAGACAAAAGCCGTTAAGAGTCGCCGATATATATGTACATATGAGATTCCTTTTTTTTTAACTGGGGTCATTGTAGTTTAACTAGTGGCTAGTGTGGTTTAATTGCAGAGACTCTCTAACCCATTGACGCCCACAGTTCCATTTTCGGGGTAATGGTTATTAATAAGCTATAGGCAGAATCTTATATAATAAATACTGGACTTTTATAAACCTATAATTAATCGCCGATTTTAAGAACCTATAATAATGGAATTTTATAACCTATAATTAATACTGGATTGTTTTAGATATACAGAGAGTGACAAAATACCTCCCTCAAAATACTTACCAGAAATACATCCTACATAATTGCAAGGCATTAGCGGAAATAGTGTCTTCATCTAGCTAATGTCTTACCATTATGGCGGAGGTATTCCTCGGAGTTATCTGTAGAAGGTATTTCTGTCGCACCCTTTATATAATTAATACCGGATTTATTTACATTATTCGGACTATTGTCCTCATCTTTGTTCTAGTTCCACGTGCCATGTTTAATGGATGTCAGTTATCAGTTATCTCATGTTAATTTTCCCTCTGAAAGTTCTCCACTGCCTTAGCTAGGTATTGAACTCACACTCTTTGGGTTATGTCATTGGATCTAACTACGCCTCTATCCACTGTGCCATGCGTCCTTGAGGATCGAACCCTGAAGGACACATGGCACAGTCGATAAAGACGTTGGTTAGATCCAGTGACATAACCCAAAGAGGATCGAACCCTCAAGGACACATGGCACAGTGGATAAAGGCGTTGGTTAGATCCAGTGACAGGACACAATGAGTGTGAGTTCAATACCTGGCTAAGGCAGTGGAGAACTTTCAGAGGGAAAATTAACAGGAGATAACTGATAACTGACATCTATTAAACATGACACGTGGAACTAGAATAGTCTACCCCAGTGAGCGAAATAAAGGGTTCGGTTCAACATTCCAACCATTTGAAGAAGGCCGGAGCGTACAACGGCCGAAATGTTGGGATAAATATGGCAACAAAGATGAGGACAATAGTCCAAATAATGTACATAATACCTCATCTCAGCAATATAGACAGATATTGACCGGATTTATTTTAATAAATCTATAATCAGTTTCGAATTTTTATTATAATTTCGATAATTAATACCAGATAATTATATTAATTTAATAATTAATACCATATTTTACAGTGAACATAAATGGATTCATCTGTCATGGCAGTTTTCTGAACTTAACTTTGGGCTAGATTTTTCCTTTGCTTTCTAGAGTTCTAAAATAAAATAATTTCACTATTATTTCAAGATTTTTCCAGACTATATTGTTGTTATCCCTGCGACGTTTCAGTCGATCTATTCCTTCCTCATGATCTGCACGAAAGGTGGGATAATGCTTCGTGTTACTTCTCTTGTAACGTCAATAAACCTTTTGATGTGTCATCGAAAAGCCTAAAAACACAATACAAAATGGTAATAAAAATACTGACGGCATGAAACTATCATGTCAGCCTTTACAATATCTTGTATGACACAGGTGATTTTGAAAGCGCTGATCAATAATTCCATAGCTTAACACGTAATTATTAGCTTAATTTTTATCTAATATCTGTCTATATCTCTGAGATGAGATATTATGATTACTTGCATTATTCTGGCTGTTATCTTCATCTTCATTGCCATATTCACAAGGTTTCGGCTGTTGTACGCTCCGGCCTTCTTCAGGTGATATGAATTTCGAAACGAAACCGTTATTTCATCCACCGGGGTAGATTTTTCTAGTTCCACGTGCCATGCCTCTTCAGGGAGTTTCAGTTATTTCCTTTTAACTCAACTTTCAAAGTTTTGATTCGCCACTGCTGTGGCCTGGTATTGAACTCACAACTCTTTGGGTCTAGTCAGTGGATCTAGCCAACGTCTTTATCCACTGGGCCATGTGCCCTTGAGGAGTTGGGTTAAAGAGAAATAACTGAGACACCCGGAAGAGGCATGGCACGTGAAACTAGAACAATCTACCCTGATAGACGAAATAAAGGGTTCGACCCTAAATTCCAATCATCTGAAGAAGGCCGGTGCGTACAACAGCCGAAACGTTGTGAATATGGTAATGAAGATGAGGATAACAGTCTGAATAATGTAAATAATGCAAGTAATTTTTATCAAATAATTGTGAATCTGCAATGTATCATCGATGTGATTAATAATCCCCGTTGTGTATTAACAAGGCAGGATATTTCGTTGAATAATTTTTAGTTACTGTGTAAAACAAATTCTTTCTTAATCATTGGGCAACGGATTAAGGCAGCTATGGATATGTAGTTAACTTATTTTAATTAAAAGAAAATTAAATTTAAAAATAATAAGCCTTTTAACACATCGAGAATTGTCGAAGATTCGATTGACTTGGACGTTAAGGTAACAACAAAAATAATAAGACATCAGAACCAGAAAAGATATCTTTGCATTTTCATTATCGCGCATATTTTTCGGTCTTTTATCTTTATCTTTCTTGTTTTTAACATAATATTACGCCCTATATATTCTTCGGCCTTCGCCATGTGTGTGTGTTGCATCAAAAGAAATTATATACGATTACTAAAGACTGACGAATGCAACAGACAGTGGAGGAAGGCTGTAAATAGTATCGGCCAAAACATTATATCAAAACAATAAAAATGAAGATATTCACCGGAAAAATGTTTTGCATGGCATCTCTATGGAAATATTATGATATCACTGGTTTTAGAAGCTGAAAAATATTCAGTAAATGCTGAAACTAAAAAACGTTTTATTTTGTTCATTTATTTATTTGAAAAAAGAAAAGATGGTTTAAAAATATTTGTTTGAGGATCTAATAAAAATAGTTTTATTTCTGGAAAATATGAGAATTCGATGAAGTAATATTGCTAAATAAAAGAAAATACTTCCCCTTTTCTTTTTATCTGCTAATTTTAACCATTAGGACGAACTAGTGGAGAATAAAGGAAAAGGAGACTGCTCCTTTTTGGACCATGTGATTAGGTGAGCCAATTGGATTGAATTACGGAAAATCTCCACATATTCTTGTGCGGAGTGATGGTAAGCCCAGTTACGGGCAGTTGCGTGGGTGCGGTCAGTTGCTACGACGATTTGTTCAGAAATTACCCCAAACAAGTCCTGAGGTTAATTTCCTAGCTTGTGTATCCCAAGAAGCAGTCAGTCGTAAAAACCCATAATTTCTCATAACACTAATGTAGGATTTGCAGCATCAAAAACTTGCATTTCTTATGAAAATATTAAAATCTTTGTTAATTATTGCCAAGTGAATCGCTTTGTTACAACAGGGGATATCGACCCAGATGTTCATCCTGTTGATTATAATAAGCTGATATTTGCTGTTGGACACGCTTTGACCAGAGACGTTTCTACCGGGTTTTCATACTTAAATAATCACAATATGGGGGTGGAGGAAGCTTCTTTGCACGAGACCTGCAATAGATTGTGGACAGTGTCACATTTCTGTAGAGGGTTTAGGAAAACTCAACACCGCCAACTGAACGCAGCCGACTGAGCGCCACGACAACTCAAGACCGAGACAACGCAGCACCAGAAAACATAACTTTTTTTTATAACCGAATAAAAGTAATTTATTAAGGATTAAAACATTAATTAGTGAATATTTTTCTACAAATAAGGCATTATGTAAAATATAAACCAGTTTTTGTTTTTAATTGTTTTTAATAAGTTAAATAGTAAAGAAATTGACATAGAAAAATAATTCAATAAAACACACTTGTTTTTAATTATTTTTTAATAAAGGAAATCGAAAAATGCAAAACAAAATGAAGCAGTTTAATTATTTTAATTGCTTTTAATTATTTTAATAAAATAAATCGTAATATAATTCTAAAATATTTTTTATAAAATATAATCTGATAATTCACGATTTACTTGATCAAAAATTAAGGTTTTAATTCTTAAAAATTACTTTTATTCGGTTATAAAAAAAAAAAAAGTTATCTTTTTTCTGGTGCAGAGTTGTCTCGATCCTGAGTTGACCCCGCGATCAGTCGGCGGTGTTCAGTTGCCCCTTTCCATTTGGTAGATGCTGCAGCCTCTGTACATTTTTGTTCACCTCTGTTAAAAACCATCATTGTTTGAATCAAAATCTTTTCAACAACAGACAAAACATCTTCTTTTCTACTTACATGCGCAAATCCAACAAAGAATAGTTGGTCGCTGGTATAACTCAAACCTGGTAACGTCATTGTCTTGATGTTGTGATCTTTTACATATTTTTTGTAAGCCTGGAAACAGAAAATAAACAGAAACATAAGAGAATGTTAATGTTAGAGAAATCTTAAAAATCACTTTAAAGTTTACTCGCTACTTTTGTGTTTGGGTAATCATTCACTTCTAAATAGCGTGTCGTTCTGACATATAAGAGCAAACGGCTACAGTGATATATGCTTCTCATACGATCGCCGAAGTTAAGCAATCTCGAACTCTAGATGGGTAACCGCTTGGGAATGCCAGGTATTGTAAGCGTGGATGTGACGTTGGTGCAATGAATAACGGCTTGTAATAGAACCGACTTCCAATTCCAACAGTTTTCATTATATTTACTTACACGCAAATGCTCTTGGGCAAAGCATAAACCTATCGCTTCTCTCCGCAGTAAATCATTATTATTGATAGGTTCAAACTCCTCCGCGGTCTTTTAACAGAATATATTTATCCCTTGTTCCCTGTTTAGGATCAGGTTTCCGGTTCCTACTAAAATCTTTTCATTCTCTGTCACTCTCAGTAGCCCCCCCCTTGCGTCTTAGTGACTTTATCGCCTTGCTTGGAGCGAATTGATTAAAAATCAATCACAGCGATATAAAATAGCAGTTATAAAAACAAAATAAAAACTTTCTTAACTGGGCACAGCTAATCTCCTATTTCCGCATTTTTTGGACGAACTTCAAACGAATAAAACAAACATTAGAAAAACATGAAATATCCTTGTTAATCTCTCATCCTATTACAATTGTGTTTGTTCATCCCTTCGTTACTTAACACGACCATTACGTCCTGTTAACCATGGACTATTCCGTGTTTTGATCGTGTGAAAAGAGAGGAAAAGACATTACGTGTTTTCAGTGAGAAAATGAAAGAAATTCTATAAGGTTAGAAATAAAGAAAGAAATAAGGGAAGGAAAATTGTTTAACGTCCCCTACCAATAACCCATAAATAATGGACTATTCCGTTTTAGTCGCGTGAAAAGAGTGGAAAAGGCACGAATTGATTTCAATGATAAAAAGAAAGAAAGAAAGAAAGAAGGGAATATAGAAGTGAGTAACTGCTGTTTCAGTGAAATGAAAAAAGTTGTCAATTTCAAACTTTTTTATTTGTACCCACTTCTTAAAAAAACGACCTGCATTCATATTCATGATTGTTATTGCAATATTCTGTGAAAGTTCAAATATTTAACGGTGTGATAGTGGAAATTCTGCGGATATTTCATTGTCGTAGGACTTGACATTCAATCATTAACTTAAGAGCAAAGAATTAAAATTCATCAAAATATTACAATAGGAAAATAGTGAAATTTTCACGTGTCTTTCTAGTTATTATTTAATTGTTCTTACCCTGAATGATGCTTTTACTCCGCCATTGTCTGCGATATTTTCTCCAAGAGTCAGGTTTCCATTGATCTAAAGGAGGAAAACAAAATGTTAGCAATTACTTTTAAAACTAAAATAAGGGTTCCCAAATGTTTTCTGTGCTCCATAACCATGGGAAATTTTTAATCAATATTTGCATCGTATCGAGAAAATTTTTCGAAAATAATTGTTCGAAAACAATTATTCAAAAGCAATTATTCGAAAAACATTTATTCGAATTGTAAATTTTTTGAATGAAAATTAACCGAAAGGACAATTATACTAAATAATAATTATTCGAAATGCCTATGTTTGAAATACGTATGTGGTCTTGTTTTGAGAGAGTCAATGCTGATTTACCTAGAACTCATAACGCCCTTGAAGGATGGCATGGGGCTTTTTTGCAGCAAGTGTCATCCCATCATCCTACAATATGGAACTTCTTAGACGCACTTAAAAGAAAAAAGGTCTTGCAAGGAATTCATATTGAAAAAGTAAGAACAGGTTGCCAAAATATCAAGAGTGTCAAGAAATACCGCGACGTAAATGGAAAACTTAAAAAATTAGTGACATCCTTTAGCGAGTACTCTTCAGTAGTTGACTATTTACGTGCAGTATTACATTACTTAAGGTTATAGGTATCTTTTCCTACTAAATTCTTTTATTAATGCTATCTGTATTTAAAATAATTATTATTTGTGTATTTCCTCTTTTAATTTTTATATTTTCATTGTTATAAAGAATTTTATATTTCGAATAATTATCATTTAGTATAATTAGGTATCTGTACTAATTTGCTGAAAAAGCATCCAATGATGAAAAAAGGCCTCAAACTTGTTGACAACCATGATTATGTGGACATATTTAGAAAACACTTACTCGAAAACCATTTATTCGAATTGTAAATTGTTTGCAGGCAAATTAATCGAAAGGACAATTATACTAAATGATAGTCATTGTAAAAAAAATTAAGTTCTCAATAAGTAAAAGAGAGTTTTTAGAATTTAGTAACTGCTTACATAAACGTTGCTTTGCTACTTGAATGTTGGTATCAATCATTGACACAAGTTTGTGCATCCTGCTGACATTTCTATCGCGAAATTCCTAATGTCACGAAAGTCTCCTCTTCTTCATCATCATCATCACCATCATGGCCAGGTAGAAGTTTAAAATATTGAGACATAGACTTTCTAGTCGTCTCCTACTTAAACCTTATACCTCTGTCCACCTTATCTGTCTTCCTCAACTTTTATGTTTATGTTATTATTAAGAGCAAAAATAAAAGTATTTTTGATTATTTTTTTACATTTTTTTAATCCTTCCTAGCACGTCCGAAATTTTAGTTAAAAATCTTGATTTTTCTAGCCAGCAAAATTACCATAAAATCAATGATTTCCGCCATTTTGACAAAAGTTAAATTCTCCGTTTAAAATTCTTGTAAAAATCACACGTCTGTCGCTGGTTTTGAAAGTTATATTTTTGACATGTTTACTCGTCCGTGTCTGAAAATGACACTTTCGGTAAAAACTTATATACACGTCTACACCGGGATGGTGGTTTTATTCAACAGAAAGTAATTCTACTGAAAATACCGTGGCATGAACATATCAGCAACAAGGAAGTTTTAAGAAAAATGGGAAGGAAAATATCACGATTGCTTAGGATCAGAAAGAGACAGTTGAAATTTATGTGAGACATAAGCAGGAAAGGGTGCTGGGAGAATATGACGCTCATGTGGCATATTTACAACAAGTATCATATCTAACGAGCTCGTGTAAATGAATTACAGAAAAAGAACGGGGAACGACAGTAAGAGCTCAAACATTGCTTAGGACTACAATGGATAGGAATTTGTGGAGAGCCATGATCGCTTACGTCCTGCAAGGACACGGTACACAAAAGAAGGTTATAATAAAATAGCATTTTTAATCATAAATCCAATTATTATAGGTATTATAAGCGGGATCGAACTACCGGTGGAAAAACTGGCAGCAATGAACTGTCCCTAGTCTTCTCAATGTAGACTGGCAACTGAGTGGGTTACTGAAGAACACGATCCACTCTGTCGCACTCGGTCCCGCAACCCAACTCCTGTGGAATAATTTGTTTTCAAAACATTTATACTGCCGTATATTTTACAACTGTCTGACTGACCTGCTAAAGGAAGTGCCCAGTAGTTCATAGTTAACAAATGCAGGCAGGCTAAATAGGAATGACTCTACGAAAAATGTGCAATAATAGAAAGAAGGACTATCACAGATAAAGCAGACATGCATAAAAATACGAAAAGTAACAGGACACAAGGCATGCTCATCAACAGAAACGGAAAACTGATATTAGAGAAAGAAAAATACACCAGAGATGGAGATCGAAGATCTATTCCACGATGAAAAAAAGCAACCGGCAATACACAGAAATATCGACGGACCGGAAATATTAAAATTTGAAATGGAAGCATTATTGTCCAAATTGGACAGAAACAAAGTGACAGGGCCAAACGGAATTGCAATAGAGATAACGGAGACCTTAGATGATTTCGGCATAGACAAGATCACAGAAAAAAATAAATGAAATCTACAACAGCAGTGATATACTGGAAGACCTAAGTAACTCTATTTTCATAGCACTGCCTAAGAAGCCAAGTTCAAACGAATGCGAACTCCATCGGACAATCAGCTTAATGAGCCACATAAAATTCATCATCTGTATTTTGATGAATATAGCGTGCAGCAGAATCAGACCGGAACTAGGACAAGAACAGTGCGGGTTAGTCAAAGACATAACGCGATATTTATGTTCAGAATGTTATCAGAAAGAGCAATACAAAATCAGAAGGACGTGTACCCGATTGTTATGGATTACGCAAAGATGTTCCATAATGTACGCCACAAAGATCTGTTGGATGTGCTCGGCAATCTTGATATATTTAGGTAGGATATTAGAATAATCCAGAGCTTATACTGGCAGTAAACCGCCGACATACGGATAGAAAATGAGTTCAGTAAATATACAAAAATAGAAAGGGGTGTAAGAAGAATATGTCTTCTCTTCGAACTTATTCGATCTATACAGTGAGGCGATTCTGACAGAACTAGAAGTCCTACCATGATTCATTATTTGCGTCCACAATATTAACAACATAAGGTACTCAGATGGCACAGTGTTGATAGCAGACACAGAAAAAAGTTACAAAATCTCTTATAGAAGGTAGTGACGGAAAGCGAGAAGAAAGGATTAGACCTCACCTGCAAAAAGGCAGAATACATGATTGTTAGCAAAAGTATGAACCTAAAACACGAATTGCAAATCGGAGATACCAAAACCAGTCAAGTGCGGAAATTTATATATCTGGGAAGTGTTTTAACAGAGGACGGAGGGTGTGATACTGAGGTCCGAAGGCGTATTGGGATTCAATACCAAAAGCTAAGCAGAGTAATAAGAAATAGAATGATTTCGCTAGAAACAAGGAAAAGAGTATTAAACTACTATGCAATATCTGTCCTTCTATATGTCAGTGAATGCTGGACGATCTTCTCAAAGATGAAGAGGTGACTTGAAGCAACAGAAAAGCGGTCCTACAGAAGGATGCTGAGGATACCGTGGACCGAACATGTGATCAACAACGAGGTTTTGGAGAAAATAGAAATAAAAAGAAAACTTATACTTAACATCAGGAAGAGGCAGTTGAAATTTCTTGCGCACTTAATGAGGATGAGGAGTTTGGAAATTCTGATACTCACAGGGCAGATTGAGGGAAAGAGGGACAGAGGAAAGCAACGCGTGACATACTTGATGGTCTTGAAAGTAAATGGATGATAGAACTGGATTTGGGAGAAATAACAAAAAGACAAAGTTTATTAAGAGCTGCAAGGAACCAGAAGTTGTGGAAAGCCATGATTGCCTACACCCTGAGAAGACACGGCACATAAAGAAGTTTAAAATTCAGTCTTTATATAAAAACATATATAAAAATTGCAGCAACCAGTATCGTGTAAATAGGACAAATTTTACAAGTACACGGTCACCTGTGTAAAGAAGTAGCCTTTCTCCAAACATAACGTAGCAAAACACACTAACTTGACACTTTAACGAATACGAGGCTTTTTAGTTATTACTACGCTTCTTTATCTCAGATAAACATTTTTTAAATACTCATATATTATATAAAAATAATAACCAGAAATACGTTTAGAGACACCGACCTATGACAAGAACACACGATTAGGATTATAGGTCGGCCTTTCTTATCATATTCTTTGTTATCATTGTTATAGCTCTAACTTGGTTGGGTTTCCTATTTCGCGTTTCTTTATACAAAGCATTAAGCACTGTTGGTTTTTGACAAGGTTTCATTTTTCAGGCTTTGTATAGGTCGGCATTATTTTTATCTTTTTCCTTTACCTTTTAGCTGATTTGTTTTATATATATATATATATATATATATATATATATATATATATATATATATATATATATATATATATATGGTGTACAAAAATACTTTTACAAAATTTGAGGGTAGGTTCCTCACACCAAAACAAGGACAAAAGTCTATGAAAGATAGGTAGTAGAGGAACGGTACCATAGCTTGCATGTTTCCCCGACCTCAATCCTTTGGATTTTTATCTGTGTGGCCACCTAAAACAGTTGGTTTATGTAGCAGACATTAATAATGCAAAGACGCTTCAGCAACGTGTCACGAGGGCCTGCGAAACCATTCGATACCGTGTGGAAGTATTTGAAAGGGTCTACCAGTCAATGCTCCGACGAAAGAAATAGAGTATTATTATTTTTAATTTCGTCACTTATATAACTTCAAACTTTATTATAGTTGACCCTTCGTATTTGAAATAGACGCCCAGAGTACTTCCAAAAAAAACGATACCTAAGGTTTAAAATATATTTTAAAAATGACAAAGCTTTCTTGAATTTTTTATTTTTATTCCAAATCAATGGATTAAATTTAATATTTCCAATAATTAATTTCAAGCACAATTTATATTAATTGAATTTTTTAACAGTAAATTCGCTAAACAATTTTCTTTATTAAAAAAAAAAATTCAAATTTTAATTCATTCGTGAATAAGTTCTGAAAGTTTCATTAAAATCCATTAATTAACTGATTTTTGCAAGAATTCCCAATGCAATGTGCTCTTCACCGCAAAAACACGCTTAAAGACGCTTAAATTTCCCATATTAATTTATGGTCACCAGATGATGCAAGAAAAACGAATCTTTTGGTCATTTCTCTTAATAATAACACAAATATTTTGACGATCAAACTTTCTTTTTATTAACTTTTCGGCATGTTTTCATCATGTATGCTAATATTTTGCGAATCTTTGGAGATACCCCACACACACACACACACACATATATATATATATATATATATATATATATATATATATATATATATATATGTTGTTATACTCACAAAAACATGGATATTTGAGATTGTTGGGTATATGCGTTTTCTCTTTAGTTTTAGTTTACGCAATATGGATACATATTTTACACACTAATTGGTATTAAATTAAATGTTTTATTAGTTAACGTAACTGAAAGAGGACTTGAACTAGAATCAAAAATATATTTTTAAACCATTTCATCACAAGCACTAAGACACAAGAAGTTACTAGGAGTAGAAGAGAATGAGAAGACGTTAATACGGAGAAAGGACAATAAAAGAACAGAAATTACAGAAAGACGGAAAATGACGATAGACGCTGCATTTAAATTATTGAAAATTGGAAGCAAGAAAAAGGAGGATAGTTCCGCAAGAAGTGACACAAAAGAAACTATTAGAATATAATTGACGGTTATATTTAGCTAATTCAACATCAAAACAATGAAACCTAGTTGTAAATATATTAGTACGCTTAAATACATGCCGTAATGTTACTAAAGAGGAGAGCTTATTAGAATAAGTGATATGAACATATTCATAGAAAAAAAAGAAAGGGACGTCAGGTTGGTGGGGAAGTGACTGATGTCGAGATCCCTGCTCACAACGAATGACACTAATTTACCAATCCTTCTTTGGTTGTCAAGAATCTTGAAATATGTAGCATCACACTAGATATGCCAGTAATATTCAATAGACGGACAAATGTGCAAGATGGATTCTACTGAGAAAAATTGTCTGCCACGACACAGTGAACCAACTTTCTTAACAGAAGACCTAGCAATTGTTTCAATATAATCGATCCACGCGTGAGAACAAGAAGGCACAATGTATTACTCTCCTGGAGGTTAGCATCAGCCATACGGAAGGTAAAAATGGATCGCTATGGGGATTAAAAGATAGCAGTTTCATTTTAGAGGTGTTAAAATTTACAAGTCATTTCTTGCAGCAGTTAACAACTAATTTTCGAGGGGATCTTCCAACGTTGAATTTTCTGAAGTACATAATGAGGAACAGAGAATTTGTCGCTTACAGGACATACTGAAGAAAAGAGAAAGAGATAAAAACGGCGTTTCATACCTAAAGAGTTTATGGATAAGGATGATAGAACATGGGCTGAGAGTGTTGGTCTAGGGACGAAGAAGAAATGTCCAGGGTTTTCCTTTGTTAATGCCTACGCATAAATATGGTCATCCGGCGTTTTCTAATCCCCAACAACAGGGCAAATATAAAACATAGCAAATAAAGAAAATTACTTACATGTAAATCACATTCTGAATTCTTGCAGATAGGAAATTTTGCGTATTGTTTCTTTAAACCGACAGATCGTTTCCTAAAATTTTCCATGGATTTTTGCGTCCACCAATTCTTTAAATTTCCGATTTTATCATATTGGGCGCCTGGAATGATAAAAGGGATATAATGTTGACTTATTATGATAATGGAAAGTGTATATCAAAGACATAATTTTATCTGTTGGGTTAGTTATCTCTCAATGTCTACCGAATTTCACATTATAAAAATCAAATTTTGCCCCGGAATAAGTTTTATCCTTCGATTATTTTTGCCCCTAAATAATTTTTTCCCCTCGATGATTTTTGTTTTGTTTTGTTTGTTTTTTTGTTTTTTGTCTTTGTATTTTAGCTTTAATTTTATGCATAAATTTTAGCTAAAAAATTAGGGCACACATTATACAGAGTGCGATAGATAAATCGTCGTCTAAATTACGCAAAAATGAAAATAACACTGACATCTCATTTTAACAAATATATTTAACAAATTTACACCAAAGTACGTTGAAATACTAAAGAGTACATTTATTCAATAAAACCTTCATTGGCTTCAACCACGTCCTCCAGACGACTTCAGAATCTCATGCAACTCTTCCGGGCGGTCACCTTGTTTAAGTTGGTGAATGCTGATATAATCCTTGCCTTCAGTTGAACTTTAGTGTTACAAGGAATTTTGTCGGTCTCTCGCTCAACTGCGCCCCACACATAATAATCAATGGGGGCTGCAGTCTGGGGGATTAGGTTTCCAGATATAAGCGGTGATATGGTGGCATAAATTGTCCGACAGCCATGACTGAGTTCTTCTTTTTGTGTATTATGGTACAGTCCTGTTACCAGACATAGCATCTTCCAGCAGCCAAACTCTTGACTCCGGGCAGCACTAGCTCCTCAATGCACTTAATTTAGGCCTGTGTGTTAAGTATGAGGTCCTCACCAACAGATTCAGGAGTTCTTTTCTTATCCGAACGATCAGATTGAGTTTCCATAGCTTTCATACCGTCGTAATCACAATTAGATTCATCCAATCATCATTAGATCAATCCTCTGTATTGTCTTCAGATTGACACCCAAGCACTCTGAAATGTTCATATTGGAGCTTCCGGCGCGAATTCCAAGCAGTACAGCATGCCGTTTCTAATGAGTGAATTGCGTCATAATGCTGTCTTTCTCACAGACGCTGCCCAACTAATCATACTATACTGTGTAGTCGACAAAATCAAAAACAAATAATGCGCATGCGCGAATTAAAAAATATATAATGGCGACAATTTACACATCGCACGCTATACACAGAAACGCGTGTTTTAATTAACTTTTTTTCACAAGAGGTTATTTAGGCAAGAAAAATGATTCCATGATGTTAAAGTAGATTTCGACGTCTCCAGAATCAACGTCAGCACTGTTTCTTTGTCACTGACATGTATAGGCCAAGAATACAACAATGGAGATATTCCAGGGATAGCATTACTGTAAATCTGATATTAATCATAACAGTGTGTAGAGGAAAAAATAAAGACAAAGTGTGATTTTCAATAAAGGGGACGTTTTAAAATTACATCTTTTGGCGATGAACGAGTTAAATTATCAGTCCTCTGTTTTTGCACCAATAGGAAAAAAGACTGTTTACACTTTCCTAATACAAAATACATTATAAATGATAACAGTAAACACTAAAACGTTTCTTTTCTCCAAAACGTATATGTGTTAATATATCTGAATGATTTACCTCTCAAAGTTAGGATTTTGATATCTTGTTTGCCAGTCGGACATGTTACGTACATCTTAAAGATACTGTCAATATCTAGATGTCCCCAGCTAAAAGCTAATATTTAGTTTAAGCCCGAAGTTGAAAAATGTGAACCTTAGTTAAGAGGAGTTCAATAAATGAGACAATTGCAAGAAACTTGTACTAGTCAAATCAGCGATAATTAATGTATATGACCACTTATCAACGCAAGTAAATTCATCCGTAAAAATAAGTATTTTTTTATATTAATAATTATATGCATTTTTTTAAATGCGGTGTTTGGCATAAAACAAACTCTAACTTGCCAATGGACAAAAGGAGGCACGTTGGAGTAATGGATAGAGGCTCGGATTGAGGAATCGGAGAGTCGAATTCCTGTCGAATCCATTACATTCACTTACGTGCTAATAACCTTGGGAAAGGTATGAATCCTCTTCTTCAAAGCTACGGATGAATAATGCAGACTCGTCAGTCATGTGTCAAAAGATACATGATCGCCTAAGCGTGCTTTATGCATGGCACATAACTGACTGACTGAAACGCAAATCACTTTGCGGTCAACTATGAACATCAATCCGAATATTTAATATGCAATTTTAAATAATTTGCGTGTCACATAAGTTACTGAAGTGTTAGCTGCTTTGTAGTTGACAAACGTTTGATGTTGATGTATGTTTAGATTCTGAGCCGTGTTACTGGCACATAACCACAAATATAAACACCTTGAATACACGACAAAATGGTCTTTAAACCAAGCTTGTTGACCACTACAATAGTATGAAGAGCCCCTGTCATTTACTTAGGCTTCATCTGAGCGCAAAATGGCAAACACAATCAACTCAATAAGGATCGAACTTACAACTAACGTTGTACAAATCAAGTTTGTTTGCCGTTGCACAACAATAAGGTGCCTCTTTTATTTACGGATTTAGGCTTGGTTCTGGCAAGCATGAGACATCTGAGAAAGATCGAATTCGATAATGTTCTACAAGCCTAGCCTTACTCGAGGATACATTTTATTATTTACTAACTTAGGGTAATTTTTGACACAAGCCTATTCGTATAGGGCCTCCAAGAAGGATTGAACGATAAGTTTCTATGATTCTAGTCTATATCTGTCTTGATTTCTGAGATGAGGTATTGTAATTATTTACATTATTTACATTGTTCAGACTGTTGGTAATAAAGACGAAGACAACAGTTCAAACAATGTAAATAATGTGATCCTAGTCTAGTTTGTTGAAATTGCTATTTACAGTAATATGTCTGCAACCTTATGATGAAGAATGCTGTACTTTTTGCGCCCGTGTGAAACTGCAAACTCACGTGACATTTCTTTGATAGATTGCAAAGAATAAAAAAAAATCTATCTGCCCATTAGTTGAGGACATGAGGCAACATACAAGCACGATCATCAATAACTTCTGAACAATTTCGTTCTGCCCAGGCTTGGATCAACCTGATATGATTTTCAGATCAATGTGACTTTCGAACCCGGTACTCATAGCTAACGCTTTGACCATTCGATTAATGGTGAACAAATATTTGTTTTTTAACTTATGTTTTAAATGCACTTAATTTGATGAGGGTAAATATTAATGTCAAAAATCGCACATTTTAGGGAAAGAATTTCAGATCAAAATTCTTCTAACAAGATAACCTACGGTCTTATTGTGCTAACCTTGTACTATAGGCAGCCACCAGACTGGAAATATTTCTCTGTTGTAATTCTTAAGTTAAATTATGTGTTATAAAGAATTATTTATTAAGAATATACTATTGACACTAGTCCGATTCTTTAACACTGAAATATTCATAGACTTTTCGAATAAAAGGTTTTGCTTACCACGGTTATCAAAGCCATGGGTAAATTCGTGTCCAACCACAGCCCCCATTGCTCCAAATACCATCGACCTGAAAGTTAGAAATAACTTTTATCATAATATTTGCCTTGTTTTTTATAGTTCGAAACAAAATAATGATAACGTTTAGATTAGATTAAACTGTCATACAAAGTGATTGATAAAAACATAAAAATACAAAATTGTTTTTAAAATCAGAATTTCTCGATTGAAGACTTGCTTTTAACATCGTAAAATTACATTGTAACAAATCAAACGCTTCAGAGAAATACAAAATTTAAAAACAATATTGGAGCCACATTTATGAAGATTTTCTTTATTTCAATAATGAATTTATTTCAGAAACAATAACATAAAGAGAACCTTTAAAATACCATTGATGAATTATTGTATAAACTCGTGCACCAGCATATTATGGCGCGAGCACATGGGAGCATCTTTTTCTTAGTTCCCATGTAGTATATGTCTCACAACATATGCCAAAATAAACTTTGTACTCTGTGTACTTCAGAGGAGTCAGGTGAAGGGTTACCCTGAGAGTTGACCTTCTAGAAGCCGTGTGTAGAGCCACGTTATCGTCCCAGCTGCACCTGGGATGCACTCATGGGAAAAAAACATATAGCAGATACGCAAAAACCCACCCCATCGGTAAGATCGTTTCTCACTTATCGCACATGAGGATGTAAGGTCCACTTTTCGTATGAAGAATCTGGAGCTGCACGCGCGCACACACACAGAAATACACACACACAAACACATACACTAGCTGGCATTAACTGAATAAGTCTGAAGATGAATAAATTATAATGTTACGTAACTGAGATTATGTACTGTGTTTTCATGAATAATGTACGACAATACTTCCACCAAAAGGTGACGCCCACAATTTTCATTTCTCTCTTCCTCTTTAAGTATCATTTCTATTCAGATCGTAGGCGTTTATTATTTACCACAGATTTCTACGAAATTTAATATGTCTAAACTGTGTAAATGAGATGATTTTAGACAGTGGATGAGTGTAAGGAGAACGTGATGAAGCATCTGATGGCGATCCCTGAAGCAGATTTTCCGAATTGTTTTGAAATTTGAAGGGACAAAATTTATGATGTCTAAACGGAATTGTTTTAGTTAAGACTAAGGTACTACTGTTTTTAAGTAGTCTATTTTTCCATTAACATTAAATGACTGAACTATCTCCGGACAGACTTCGTACAAAAAGAAAACACCCCGTTTAAAATAAAGGATTCTCTATTAGTCTTTTTAGACTTGAAGAGGCATGGAAGACTAATCTTATTATTGCATGTTGGCTCACTGGGTGCCTCATACTTTCGGCCTTGTAAAACATTTCAACCATGCTTAGAAAATCGCCATTATTAGTTTAATGTTATCTACTAATATTTACTAAATTTAGTTTAGTTTCATACAAGGCTCGATTGACGGCTAGATATGCTAACATTCCAACTGCTAATAGTCCTAGAATCAGTCAGTTAAGTGCCACATGTGATACACGCTAGGGCGATCATGTATCTTCCGATATATGAGGCAGAAGATTTTCCTGTAGTAGGTTGCCATTTCTTTCTGCAGTAGACTGGTTGCGAACCAAGGCTAAAGAACCCAACCTCTCCTGCTATACAAACCCATAAAGCAGAGAGAAGAGGTGGATTCATATCTTTCCAAGGTATGAATCCTTTGCAAGATTATTTGTGCGTAAGTGAATATAACAAACTCGACTGGGATTCGAACTCGAATTTCCAGGTTCTCATCCCGAGCCGATATCCATTACACTACAATGACCCAGAATGCTGAATCCTAATTCTTGTCTTTGCCCTCAGTTTGGACTAAAACTGATGGTGAACATGTAACTTGTTCAATCTCAAAGTATATCTGGTCTTAAAGATTATTTTATCTTCATTCAATCAAAATTTACGAATTGACTTTTTCTTTCCATTACAATGAAAAGAACTTATATGTCGGTTATGTGTAAATGGGACAGAAAACCTAACCTACCAAACTGAAGTTTTGAATTAAAGAAACTTAAACCATGGTTATTCACTTCAAATTGCACATTTTAATTCCTCCATCGAGGCGAGTCTTCCTTTCAAATATAAAGTCTTATATAGTGGCCAGCAAGCGTTGGGATTTCGCAGTTGCGATTAACATTAACTCCTCTCGGCCGAGAAAACCAGCATTATAAAACCTGGTTTTTACCTTTGTTTGAACACTAGGTGCTGACACGAATCGGTTTTCTACAGTGAATAAAAGTTGAAACCCATTTCAGTATATCACTCATTTTTCTGTTTCAAGATTCAACCTCTCTGTCTGTTTTACAACTACTTTCATTGCTCCGAGGAGCTGCTTTCACTGGTTCCCAGATTTCATGAATTCAAACGCCCTACGAGGCTGGCATCCCGCTCTTACCCTTTCACTGTCGAAACTCTTAAATGTAGCCGTCTCTTCTACTCCAATAGCTTCATGTCTCGCACCTCTCGCCTGTGGAACTCCCTTCCCTATTCCAGTTTCCTTGAGAGTTATAATCTCCAGCTATACAAATGTAATGTCAATCGACATCTCCAGTTGCCTTGATCTATCCACTACCCTTCTCCTCATCCTTTCTTCTATCACTCCTAACTGATCTTGCTCCAAATTTTCTGTAACCCCTTGCGTCCTAGTGGCTTCTCGCCTTGCTTGGGTTGAAACGCTTAAAAAAAAAGTATTGAAAAACAAAGGTTTCTCCACTGGGATAAAAACGTTACTTTTTAAACTAATTTTACTTATGCAGAGATTGAATTGTTTGCACATCAGCATTTGTTGTTATACGCCTGCGCAGTATACACATTTCGCATTTTACGGATGATTGAGGAAATGTACTAAATATGTTAGACAACAAAGATGATACTGTACGAGATTAAACCGAGTATGCTGATTACGAGTCTGTATTGGGAATTGTAGGTCAGGATTTTATAATAGCTTAAGTTTAACGTATATGCTGACGTTAGTTGTTTCGGGTTATTCGGTTTTATTTTGTACAAATCTTCCTTAGTTCTCTTTTGAAAAATAAATTGATTTAATAAACAACATCCTAATATCTTGATTGTTTTGACTGATTCGTTTTCTACAGCCATTGCATGTTATTTAAAGTCCGAAAATATTTATAGATTTTAAAAAATATTTTTTTAACACAATAATAATTTAGTGATACAAATCCTACAATTATACATTAAACCACCCGCACATCCAATCACCTAGTATTCCAAAGCAACGACCCACCTGGGTACTGACCGGGCGTATCCTCATTTACGACAGCAGTTGACCTGTTACTGTGGGCCTGCCACTAAAATCCCTTTCTTATTTCTCTCTAGGACTATCTTTGTTTCGGCTGATTCATCAACTTATTCTGCCTACATCAAGTGCAGCCTTTACATAAATATTGTTTAATCGCTTGTGAATGACTGCATCACGTTCTCCTTTCCAAAGAACAGATATTCTATGGCAGTTCTTTGTTTTGTTCGTGTATGTAGAGCTGCGATTATTTTGAAACGGGGTTATGGATAGGAAAAGATAACTCCACACATTTTTCTCTAGGTTTCAAGACACATTATAGCTTTATAAGGTAGGAATTCTGACTGATACTTTTAAATTATAACAGGCCTCATTTTTAAACTAAATTTAATACATTTACTTTGAATATAGATATATTACCATCCTATTTTATAGCATAATTGACATACTTGACAATTCTAATTAGGGATTCTAAATCAATCAAATATTTCTTTTAGAAGTACAGTATAAATTGTCTAGGTCTTCTTCGATGTGCCATGTCCCTTCAAGATGAGGTTAATCAAAGCTCTCTAATTTCTTCCCTCTCTGTTCTGCCATTCATTTAAACAAGCTCATTAGGTAGGCTTCTCGCTGTTTCTGTTTGTTATTATTGTCTTCAATGCTCTGCGTGTGTTAAGTTCTCCAAGCGCACTTTCTTCATTATGTGTCTTAGAAATTTTAACTCTAATTCGTATTCTAAGTATAACTGCCCTTTTTTCCTCAAAACTTCCTAGTTGCTCACATGCTCCTTCAATGGAATTCTCAGCATCTTTATGTAGAACCATATTTCTGTTGCCTCAAGGTTTGTCTTCATCTGCAAGGAAAATATCTACCACACCGTGCCATGTAGAAACAGTGGTATAACAGCTGTTCAGCTCTCATTTTCGTGTTTCTAATGAAATTTTCCTGTTTCTTAATGGAGTGCTTAACTTTTGGAAGGCGTCTTTTGCTATTCCAATACACCTTCGGATTTCGGTGCCACATTTTCTATCGTCTGTTAAAATACTTCTTAAATTTCAACACTTGCTTAATTTTGCTATTTGCAAATCGTAGCACGCACCTTTGACTGTTTGTCTTACTAACGACTATACATTTTGTTTTCTTACAACTGATGGTTGGTCCTTTCTTCCTGCTTTCCTTTATTATCTTTTCTAGGAGTTCCTGTAGTCTTCTTGTTTTAGTATGTCTGGATAGCAAACAAAAATATTTTGCCCAGTGAAATTTGGCAAGATAAGCAAATGTTTCTACGGCTCATCCGCAAAATTGGACAATTAATCCTATTCTTTGATTCCCTTTTGTTTTACCAAAATATATCTAAATTTATATTAGTCTTTCTCAGATGAAGGATCCGTATCGAAGGAGAGCATTCTATTTTCTTTTTTTTAATTTTAACAATATTAAAGCGCAATGAATCCCATTGGAATTACTGATGTTCTCATTGTTGCTTCAGTTTTTCGCTTCTATCAAAAGGCCAAAATTTTTATCCTGATCCGAGGATATTTTTTGTTCACATACTTATCATCCCAATACAGAAACATGTATCTGTATCTGTCGATATTTCTGAGATGAGCTATTATGTACATTATTTACATTATTCGGACTATTGTCCTCATCTTTGTCGCCATATTTATTACAACGTTTCGGCCGTTGTACGCGCCGGCCTTCTTCGGGTGGTTGGAATGTCGAACTGAACCCTTTATTTCGCTCACTGGGGTAGACCGTTCTAGTTCCATGTGCCATGTTTAATGGATGTCAGTTATCAGTTATCTCCTGTTAATTTCCCTCTGAAAGTTCTCCACTGCCTTAACCGGGTATTGAACTCACACTCTTTGGGTCCTGTCACTGGATCTAACCAGCGCCTTTACCCACTGTGCCATGTCGTTAAGGACACATGGCACAGTGGATAAAGGTTCCTCTTCATCTGCGAGGAAAATGTCTAGCACACACTTCCATGTAGAAAGTGTGATATAACAGCTGTTCAGTTTTCATTTCCTAGTTTCTAATGAAATTTTCCTGTTTCTTAATACTGTACTTAGATTATGTGGGGGCATCCTTCACTATTCTAATTCACCTTTTGCTTTTGATTTTACCTTTCAACCAAAATTCTACCAGTAATCATTGTCCACACTATAAGAAGATAATCCTTAAAAAAAAGGGTGGCATTTATTTAAATTCTTCTATTGATAGTAATTTGATATTTTCATACTTTGAAGTAATTGGTTATTTAGTCAGTATTGTGTAACACGATATACTACATCCTGCAACAAGACCTCTGGTCAAGAGATTCGAGGTTTTGAGGAGCCTAGAACAACCTCTTACTTGCTGTTGTTCCCAGGTCCTCCCTGACCTCGGGTGATAGCACCTGTTAGGGCCCCAGTTATGGATAAGTAGTGAACCCCCAAACAAAACACTATAAAATTTAAAAATACATTTTTATAGTAAAAATACTTGCGATACATTTTTGTATATAAAAAAAATGAGCAACAATTAATTTTATTGTAGAATTACCAACAATACATTTTATAGTAAAATGACCAATACATCTTATGTAGTTGAAGTCATACAACTGTGTTCAAAATATTTAGATTTTGGCATTAAATAACCTATAGAGGTTGATATGTGGCAAAAATTTCAATCAACCAACATCGTAAGTGTACAAATTAATTGTATTCATAAAAGAGAAAATCTATAAGAAAAAGTATACTTTACAATGGATACTGTTCGTCATAAAATGGAGGTTGCAGGATGCCGGCAGGAAAGACTGAAAGTGGAAAAAAACAGAAAAATATTCTTGTTTTTTAACCCGATACATATTAAAAAGACAAACACAAAAACACTAACGCGTATGCCAGTAAATTACTGGAGTTAAATGTGTTTAAATGTGAGTATATTGTATCAGCAAAGAGATAAATATTAAAAAAAAATAGATCAACAATATTCAATGAATAAATAAAAGTTAAAAAAAACTTATCATTCCACTTTGTAGTTTTGCAGAGATACCGCTCTTCATGATCAGATAAATCTATTGAATTCATTCACCAATATCAAATTTATATATACTACCTAAAGAAATATGATAATTATTAACTTCAAACAAATTTAAATCCTATTCGGTACTAATAATCATTATAACATAACAGCAATTAAATGTTAAAAGTCGTTATAATGTGACAACATGTAAACTTAAAATGTTCGATGTCTGTATTTTTATAATTTCAAAGCTATTTGTCTAAAAAAGAATCTCAGAAAAAAAACAGCAAATGCTACCAACGCACAAAACAGCACAAAACTTGCTAGTTATATATGGAAAGTGAAGGAAAAAATGACAAATGTCCCATGGTGAAATGGGATGTGCTGAGAAAAACTCGGGAATAAAGTATGCCAAGAGAAGAAATTGGCAATTATGTTGTATGCGGAACAAAATAAGCTGCTTAACGAAATATCGGAGGTGATGACAGCATATTTCTTTCTTTTTATGTGAAGGGCGAAAGGTGATCATAGCTCATCCCCTCCCTCTCATCAATTTCCTTCCCTATGCTTCCACCCCCAAGACCATATTCTGTTATCCACCTGCTCAAGCTTGCCAGGTATGTCACGCGCTGATTTCCCTTGTCTCTCTTTCCCTCTATTCGACCTGTGAGTATCACTCTCCAGGCCCTCCTTCCTCATTGCGCGTCCCAGAAACTTCAGCTGCCTCTTTCTGACGTTCAGTATAAGCCTTTTCCTTGTTTGCAACCTCACTCAGACCTCATTGTTGCTCACACACTTGGTCCATGATATCCTTAGCATCCTTCTGTAGAACCACATCTCTGTCGCCTCGAGTCTCTTCTTCATCTTTGAGGAAATCGTCCAACATTCGCTCCCGTAAAGAAGGACAGATGTCACGTAACAGCTCAGTACTCTTTTCTTTGTTACCAAATAAATCCTACTGTCTTGCAATATTCTACTCAGCTTTTGAAATGTGTCCTTGGTCATCCCAATACGTCTACGTATCTCAGTGTCGCACTTACCATCCTCTATCAAGACGCTTCCCAGATATTTAAAATTCCGCGTCTGTTTGATTCTTGTGTTCCCGACCTGCAAATCGCATTTCGGGCTCATCCTCTTACTGATGACCATGCATTCTGTCTTAGAAAGCTATGAATGCGGGGAGGAGTATACAGTGCTGTTTGATAAAAGTGACTCACCTGATTTTTTTTACTAAATGTTCTCTTTTCCGATGAAACGAAAGTTGAGCTAAATTCAAAGAACAAGCAAATCAAACTTATGGAGCATGTTGCTCAACTGCTTTCTCGAGAGCCTGTACTTTATAATGCTCCATGTCATAACACTCACTTGCTTCTCATCAAAGTATTCCTTCATCAATTTTGATTTGTGACAGGGAGCATTATTCTGCATAAAAAAGAGATTGGTGAGTTCGATTTGCACCCTTTCAGCAGAAGGGAGCAGACAAGACTCTATTATTCTCTTATACAGTTCGCTCCTGGGGGTCTTTTCAATAGGTTTTAAGAAACCAGTCCCATGAAAAGAAAAGCATCCCCAGAACATTATACTGAACGGATGCTTGATAGTACTTACTGCTAAATTCAAAGAGCTTTCAAAGCTTCTTCTTCGGATTTTAGATCGCTTATCCTTTGAATTTAGCTCAACTTTCGTTTCATCGGAGAAGAGAACATTTAGTAAAAAAAATCAGGTGAGTCACTTTTATCGAACAGCACTGTATATATATATATATAAAACAGGTCAATCCCCACAACTCTTTCCTTCTTTCTTTCTTCACTTTACCAGCGGTATGATTAGTGTCTTGCAATGGAATATCAAATTTGCCTGACGATACCTATTTGGTAGAAACTGCGGAAGCAAGAAGGCTGGCTTTCTCTCTCTCTCTCTCTCTCTATATATATATATATATATATATATATATATATATATGTATGTATGTATGTATGTATGTATATGTATGTACGCAAACAATTTTAACAATTCTGTTAAATTCAACCAATAAGATACGTCTTTTTAATATTTTAATTTTATTCAGCCAATTAAAAGTGTAGATAATTTTACCTCTTAGCCAACAATCAGGCCTGAAATTGTTCAGAATCAGTGACTAAAAATAATTGGAAATCTCTATTTACCTCTGAGTTCCCCCCCCCCCCCTCTCTCTCTCTCTCTCTCTCTATATATATATATATATATATATATATATATATATATATATCTTTCACTGACAAAATGTAAGTTTTCCCCTACTAAGAGTAATAAACGCTATCAATTCAGACTGGATGTGTTGTGCCAATAACTGCCAAGAGAAGAAATCATTGTCCCAGTGAAAAGATATATAATCTTATTTTGAACAAGAAACAGAAACATGCGAATTTTAGTACACAGGTCCCAAAAAACAGTAGAAACTAATGTGATGATACAATCGACTTCCACTTCGGAACAACGAAAACGGTTGCCAAACACCATTTCGAGACATTAGGACGATCACCAGTCGTACAAAGAAAGCTGAAAGAACCTACTGCTGCTTGCACTGCTACATTGGATATTATGAAAGCTTTCACACCTAGAGTATTTAAAAAATTCAAACTTCTTTCTTACCAAATGCTGTTAATGAAATATTTTCATGAGGCAAATGAGATATCACTAGTACAGCTCTCGCATTATATCTAAACGAGTGAAAATTAGATAACTTTTTATTAGAGCGAGCTAGACATAGCTAGATAGCTAGCATGATAGATAGATAGATAGATAGATAGATAGATAGATAGATAGATAGATAGATAGATTAGAATAGAATTAGATAAGATCAGAATTAGATAGATAGATAGATAGATAGATAGATAGATAGATAGATAGATAGATAGATATTAACAGAGATAGATATGTATTAACATAGATAGATAGATAGATAGATAGATAGATAGATAGATAGATAGATAGATATGAACCGACTGAGATAGATATGAATATACTGAGATGGATAGACAGATAAACAGACTGAGATAGATAGATAGATAGATAGATAGATAGATAGATAGATAGATAGCCATACAAGAATAAGACGAAGAATATCACTTACTTATTGAATTCTGGCTCGGGCTATAAAATGCATTGACGACAGCTGCGTTCAAATGTCTCCCACTGCAAATAAAAGTAAGAATAAAAATAGTAAGCGTTGCTTCAAAATGATCTTTTCCTATTACGACCGTATTTCCAACAGGAGACTTGTGCGATGACGTTAACACTCCTAATCGATTGGCATCATGTATTTTCAGACTTTTAGCAACTTGATGAAAGCACGAAGCCATATCTTTTTCCTATCCTGACCGATTTTGGTTTGAATACTCGATAAAAAATGATCGCTCTAGCCTTGATTTGCAATCAGTCTATGAGAAATGCAACACTGAATTCACAATCTTGGAAAAGATAAGAGAAAGGTCTCAATTGTCTTTCACAAGAATCTTAATGGCAATTCACAGATATCACAAATTACCTAAATAGAATGCGTAAACGATTTTGAAATCTATCAAGGCTGGAATGTGAGGAATGACCAGTTCCAATCTATATACCTTCGCAATACTTCAATTTAGGGTTAATCTGACTCTTGTACAGAAAAAAACTGGATATGGATCCAGTTGGTGTTATTTTAATATACTGTTCCACTCGTACAAAACAGAAATTCTTTTTCGGATAATTTATGCAAATAAGTATAAATTAGACGACATTAGGGAATCGAAAAACATTGATTTTTTTACCTATTTAAAGGGGGTCCTGTTCGTCATATAAATATAGTCACAAATCGATCCCTGACTTTTAATAGAATTATCTGGAACTAGTTTGTCATTCACAAACAAATGTAAAACTCACTGAATTCTTCATATTTTTCTTTTTAATTTTCAGGAGTTTTAAAAGTTTTACATTTTAAAGTTTTTCTTGGGCGAATATTTTCAGAACTACATGCCCAAACATTGTTACATAACAATTATTTATGTTAAATGAAGAATAAATGTATACATACTTTTATTAATTTATGATCATTTTTGTTTTTTAATTTAAAATGTATGTATCCGTTTATTCTTTATTTAAGAGAATATGTCTTATCTAAAAGAAGTATTTTCGTACACAGAAAAACTAAGCCAAAATAACTAAGGGATCGATTTTACACTGTATCGATATATGTTCATATCGATATATCGATATTAACAACATCACGCCTTCTAAAATGATGAAAAATTAAATTAATATTTTTCGATGCTGATAAATGTCGTACTTTTAGGAAGGTCGATTGAATACTAATCTACAAAAATTATTACCTGAAAAGATTTTCCTTACATAGTGCCCAAAAGGGAAGTCGTGAAGAGCTATGATTGCCTATATTCTGGAAGAATATGTTATTCATACGGCATATTTTAATCCTAAATTATTTGTTATTGTTAAATGCGGCAAAATATTACTTACATTGTTCGGTTGTTAGTAATATTTAAGTGATAAAACGCATAATGACTATACAGCATATTGATGCTCATCAAATTTTCCAAGAAACCATCTGTTGTGAAGTTGATCTGTAAAAATAAAGACAGAAATTTTTTTATGACAAACCCAAAATAAATATAAGGTTTCACAAAATGTCTTCTCGTATTTTTTGCTTCAATTCTCGTCTACATCTTTGAGGAAAGTGTCCAGCATTCACTACCACATAGAAGGACCGATATTATGTAACAATTCAATACATATTTTCTAGAGCAGGATACTTTGTCAACACTTAGAGTAAAATAACGATTCATTTTTACGTTCTTTGCAGGTATCAGCGATATATGAAAGTGAGGCTTGGATGAAGAGAAACATAGTAGGGTTGTAGACGTTTTATATAGACATTGTTTGAGGGCAATACTCCCTGTTTCTTGGCATGTCATGATCATATGAAGAGATTGTCCAGCATTCACTGTCATATAGGAAAGATATTACATAATAATTCAGTACTCTATTTTGTTTCTAACGAAAATTCTCAGCTGAAAATGCGTAAAAAAATTATTGTAATTTTGGAATTCTTTTTCTGAAATAAATCCCCAGTATTTACCCTGCGTCTTAAAAGCGAAAAAACCTTTTCACTTTTTTTTTTTTTTGTAAGTCAAAGAAATGCGGTATTCGTTGCTACTTACGTCATGGAAAATCATACCGAGTGTAGAATCATCTTTGATGGATTCCTTATATCCAATAAAATAAAGGACAGCTTCAACCTAAAAAAAAAAAGTAATCTTTTTATATGTGAAATATATTGTGCATGTATTAAATAATTTTCTGTTAATAAAAATTGGCCATTTCAACCTTTACTGGAGGTTCCGTTTTGCTAATATTATCAATTAGAATAATTACCTATTAATTTTATTCAAACGACTGCATACCAATTGACCTCATAGGTATATACTAAGCTAACTTTCCAACTAGCCGATAGGTATTTACAAAATCATATATCAATGTATTTCGTAAGTATATACAAGGCCATATCTAAATTTTTTAAATTTTTTATTGTGAAATAAAACGAGTCTTTAGTTAAAAGAACAATAAATAAATGATTAATCGTCAAGGATGTTTTTACATGTTTTTTGAGAAAATTGTATTTTTAAGAAAGGCAGACTATTTGTATAAATGTTACAGTTGTGTACATTTTTTATATTTAACGGTTAAAAAACGCAAAATTATTCTGTGAACTCATTATGAATTTGTGGAAAAATATTTTTCGTATGTATTGACCAATCAGAGACGTGATTCCATTCCCTTGTAAAGTTTGTGGATGAAGTCTCCGGGAGCCTCTGTTTTCTAATAAAATGATCAACAGATAACTTCAGTTTAGTCGTCAAGGCATTTGGATGCGAAGGCAGAAGGAAATCGGACTGCAAGGCGGTCAGCTGCACATAGCGACAAGAAGAACCAACAACGAAAAGAAAACAAATAGGTTCCTAAATATTGTTGAGGCCCACAGTGAAGCATGTGGGTAGCCAAACGAAAATCGAAATACATTTCTAGATATCACTGAATTTCTCAGAGACGCTAGAAGGATAAATCATAGACGGCTTTTCTCATTTTACTATTAGGTGGGTGTATCTTGTTTTTTATTCATTTTCTGAATTCTGCTTTTTGAAAGTTTATTTTTTCATTTTCGAAAGTGTAATCACTTTTTGTCGTATATTTGAATCGTTATCATGCCTTAATTATTGTATAAGATGCAAATAGGGCATTTTTGTGCAAGCTCTTGTACCTTAATTTTTTATGTGTTTGTTCTTTAAAATTTCATGTAGTGGTTGAGCCTTGTAGTTTGCACCTTATTCAATGGACTTTAGGAATAATAGAGGCATGAATCCTTTTTCCCTTTCTATCCCTACTAACTAAATTTTTGTGTTTGATTCATAACATCCTCAGAGGTATTTGCGTGTAAGTGAATATAACGAACCCAATGGGAACTGGAACTCGGCTTTCCAATTTTCAATTCCCAACTGTTATCACTACACCACCCGCACATCCAAGCTTGCAGCAGCTGCTATTCCCAAACGGTCACATATTTAGGTACTGACCAGGCTCGACGTTGCTTAACTTCGATGATCGTATGAGAACTAGTATTTCAACGTGATATAGCCGTAAGCTGAAATAATTTTGGAAAAGGCATGAAATCATATCTTCCCGCCCAAGTTATGGGTTATATGGTAGGAGAGACAGTGTTTTCTAGTATTGAATGATGACCAGTCTGCGAAAGTGATAACTTTAAATTCTCATCAGGATCTGTCCATTTCCAAGGTCTGCTCAGTGGTGATTAAATATTACGTGTTAAGATTGGATGTATTGGAAGATATCATCCAGTCTTTTGCCCATTGAGCAATGAGTGTTAGACCAAAGGAGAGATCATCGCACTTATCATCGAAGTTGAACAGTAAGGATTTAAGCTCATCAGGATTGATGCAGGTTTAGGGTCTGCTCAGTGATGATTAAATATTAGTGTTTACTTTTGGATGTATTGGAAGATATTATCCAGTCTTTTGCCCATTGAGCAGTGAGAGTTAGACCAGAGGAGAGATCATCTACTAGGCACTTGTCATTGAGGCTAAACAGTGAGGATTTTTACTTCATCAGGGTTGATGCAGGATTAGGGTCTGCTCGATGGTGATTAAATGTTACGTGTTTAGTTTTGAATGTATTGAATGATATCATGTCCCCTTAAAGCTGTAAGAATTTGGTTTTTCGTTTATTTGCAATAATGTTCATCTTATACAAGGCCTAAGAGCCACATGACGTAGTGGGTTACACAGTAAATGTTAAGAGATAGTTAATAGGCATATCTGGGTTAGAAACATGCAAAGTGAAGAATAATACAGATTATAAATGTATATTGCGACAAAATCATTCTCCTTTACAACCTTAAGTGAAGTCGTAATAGTAAAACGCTATTGAACTATTGTTTACCTCACGTGGGATCAATGTGATTTTATAGAAGATAAAAATACACTTTATCTCAGTAAAAATCCCGAGCAAGAAGTTTTTGCTTACCTTTTCAATGGCGGCCTGACGAGTTGCGTCATCCATCCATTTAGTTTCCTTAAACATTTTTTCCATCGCTTCCCGAAGACTATGTACCAACTGGATAGCCTATTAATAACGAAGCAAATTTTATTATTATTTCCGTTTCTTGAGTCAAAATAACAAAAATATACAAAGCAATTCTTTAAGTAGATAGAAACAAGTCGGTAGATAATTGAAATATTGCTACAGTTTTCGTGTTACTTATTATCTTTCAAAGTGGTGGGTGGAATAATGGACAGAGGCTCGGACTGAGGAATTCAGAGAGCCGAGTTCAAATTCTAGTCGAATCCATTACATTCACTTACGTGCTAATACCCTTGGGAAACGTATGAATCCTCTTCTTCTCCCGCCCCAGCTATGGGTAAAATAGCAGGACAGACAGACCGGGTGCCTTGGATGGCAACTGGTCTACCACAGAAAAAATTTGCTTCGACAGATACATGATCGCCTAAGCATGTATTACGTATGGCACATAACTTATTATCTTACACTTGTTCATGGCATCTGCAGATGAGAGTAAAAAGATATCGATGTGGAAATAGTAAGCTGAGCTTAAATACTGGGCTAATAAGTTGCATTCACTTACATACAAATTTTTTTATTGATTTCTCCGTTGGACCTTTTGTGTGTGTGTGTGATGCGGCATTCACCCTGGGCGGATTGAGCCGGCTTCTTCCTGTTGTTAGAAGAAGATTCTTGGGATAAATTACAGAAGTAGGGTACCCAGGCCTACTCGGTTAACGTTCTTGCTTGCCGCGGGGTTCCCACAGACGCAGAGACAGGAACGACCAGAAGCCGCCGGTTGCCGATGCAGACGCTCCTTGGATTTTCACCAGAGCCCTTGTTAGCCGGCGTGTGTGTCAGACCTGTCCGCCTTGGGTGGTTATTTGAAGCCAATAAGTAATTTAAATTGTAAGAATTTATTTTGAGATAATAATGATTTATTGATATTAGTCTTACTAATGGCATGGAAATTGCTGAAACCAAATTCTGTGCATATGTATGTTGTATTTACTTTCGCATAAATGCTCTTTGAAAATGTATAAATACATCTCTTTTTTTTTTTTTTTTTCGAAAAATTCCAAACCATAAAGAAGGCAACTGGAAATTGCTCTTTCCCAAGAACGCATGGCAATTCATAGATTATAAAGAGAGCCATGCTATTTAAAAGTTTCAAGCCTCAAGTGAAGACTTAATCTATTACCCGGTTGATCAATCAGTTATGTGCCATATGTGATACACGCTTAGGTGATCATGTATCTTTCGATACATGACTGACGAGGCAGATTTTTTCCCACAGTAGGTTGCCATTTCTTTTTGCGGTAGACCAGTTTTTTCTTTTTTTTGCTAAAGAACCCTGTCTGTCCTGCTACTTACCTATAGCTGGGGCGGGAGAAAGGGATTCATACCTTTCCCAAGGGTATTGGCACGTAAGCGAATGTAATGGCTTCGACTGGAATTCGAACTCGGCTCTCCGATTCCTCAATCCGAGCCTCTATCTATTACTCCACCGTGCCTCAATCAGAGCCAAAAAATCAACGTTTGCACTCTGAATGATACTTAATCATTTGAACGTATACTGGGTATCTAGTTCACTCCAGCACCCACTTTTCTTTTAGAAAAGTTCTCAATAAAAAGAGCCACTCAAGGTAGATCGTTACTGAATAACGTATGTGGTACGAATGTAAGAGAAGGTAATAAAATGTGAAATAATGAGGATACGGAGGATAGTTAATGAATGACCTTTGACTTGAAGAGATTAAAATTGTAATACTCAAGGAAGTCTCCTTCAAAGTAGCAGTTTAAGAGGAAAAAACTGACTGAATGGAACTTTCTACTTTCAATTGGAATACGGAGGAAATGTGGGTGATTCGGCTCCATGGAAATAGCACGGCGTATCCTTGTTGTAAAGGTCTTAACTGATGAAACGACTGGATGGAATTCATCTGAACTTTTACCATGGAAATAGCGAATAGCAAAAGACAGTTTACGACCTTACGCCTGTGTGGAAAGAGACTGAGTACAAAATAAGTCATCCCCCAACGAAACCGCGTGGAATTCATACATGCTTCTTTTTGTCAAGCTCCTAGAATCCCTAATCAACTCTGAATTGGTTGAGCATCTCACATCTCAGGGCCTTCTTTCATGCAAATAATATGGTTTTTACTTCTCTTGGTCAACTGCTAATGCACTATTATTGCTGAAAGAGTCTATCAAGCTTTCATAAGAATGGGGAAGTTCAGGTTGTAGCTTCGGACAACTCGAAGCTTTGGCATACCGGTCTTCTTCAAAGGTTGAAAGATTATGGTATTTCCGAACGAATTTTTGAACTGATTCCGTCTTTCTTATGAAACCGTGAAATGAAAATAGTCTTGCACGGTAACTTTTCTAGATCATCTTTAATTAATAACGGGCTCTATCCTTGAATCTATTTTGTTCATAATTTTAAACACTGACCTTCCTGATGACATCAGTTCTCGATATATATCCTGATGATACAACCATTTTCCCATGTCTGATCAGTTAGATAGGGACAAATTTTCAGCTGATATAAAAATTGACCTACAGCCAGTTGTTAACTAGGGCAAGGAATGGCTTGTTAATTTTAACGCCCTCAAAACGAAACCTTTCTTCTTCACCTTAAAGATCCCTTGCTGCCACCCGTCTGCATGGCTGATACTAACCTCCATGAGAGTGACTCATTGCGCCTTCTCAGGCTAACATGAAGTGGAAAGAATATATTGACTCCATTGCTAATGTTGCTACTAAATAGTCGGTTTACTGTGTCATGTAAGAAAATTTTTCTCTCCTGAATTTATCTTTCATATTTATAAATTTAACATTCGTCCATGATTTGAATATTGCTGCCACATATGATCCGGTGCTCTTGCTGTATATCTAGAGATTCTGGATAAAATCCAAAAAAGAATCAGCAATATCATTGGTCCTGACCTAGTTTCTCGCCTTCAGTCACTTTCTCACCACTGTAATGTAGCGTCCATGTGACTATGTTTCTATAAATACTTTCATGGTATTTGTTCGGAAGAAGTCTTCGCTATGGTATCTAGACTTTACGAATTTAAGTGCAATACTAAATAGACGACAAGGTTTTATCAATTAACAGTTGATTTGACTAGATATAGCCGCTGATACTGATTATTTCAAACTTCTCGCTTGTGGAACTCTCTTCCGGTTCCATACTTTCCAGCTAAATTTGATCTTCAGAAATTTAAATACAATACGTTATCTACTGTATTCTTGGTTACTCTTCTATTGTTCTCGTTCCTTAATGTTTCTCTTTTTCATGATTCTTTCACATTCAGTAATCCTTTGTATCTTGATAGATTTACTGCCTTTACAATCCACTGCCAAGCTTTATCTTTACAAGAGTCAGATTAGACTAACAGTAGTGAATCTTGCCATATCTACGCTGGGACTGCTCAATCCTTACTTTCCATTCTTGATAAAAGTTCGAAAATCTTTTACGTGATAATCCCTTAGAGCGTATTCTCCATTCAACAGTCTCTTACCCAACAAACACAACATTGCAAGGTTATTTCTGTCGCTATTTCCACGGCACATCTTCAGATGAGCTACATTCTTTAGTTTCACCATCTTAAACCTTTACAGCTAAAACTCGCCATACTACTTCAACGGTATCAAATCATCCTCATTGCCTCCGTGTTCAAATGTATAAGGAAATTTCGACTCAAATAGATTTTTCCAAAGAACTACCACTTTTTGGAACAGATTCCAGCGTGGAAAAAGACAATCGTAACATCTCCAAATCAAGAGATTGTCGTTATCTTTCCTAATGTTCGTAATCATCACATTTTTATTAACTCGTCATTCAACATTACCATTTTAACAGTAACTCTCTACCTTGAGTTGTTCCCGAGCCCTGTATCCGAAGAATTTTACGGTAGAAATAGTTTGCTTCATTAGGCAAGGCATACTATCACCTATTTTATAATTGTATTGATTGTCCGTATTTCTGATTGATATTTCTGATTAATAGTTCGGTTTTTATGGCGGTATGAAATCAATGCTCATCTTTAAAACTAAATTTATTAACGAAGAAACTTTAATGATATAGTTGGGTTGTCAATTGCAAATTCCCGCCATCCACAATATAAACGCTATGTTTATGACAGAACAATCCCGCCATCCACAATATAACGCTATGTTTATGACAGAACAATCCCGCCATCCACAATATAACGCTATGTTTATGACAGAACAATCCCGCCATCCACAATATAACGCTATGTTTATGACAGAACAACTCCATGAATAAAGACCAGTAAAGCATCTGTGATTTTAAATATGTCCAAAACATTATTAGAGTATCCTTAAAATATCAATATTTTGAGATTCTTGACAAAATAAAATGAGGAAACTGCAATGTTATTGATCCTGACCTGGCATGTCACCTTCAATCACTTTCCCACCGCCGTAATGTATCTTCCCTGTGTCTCTATAAATACTTTCATGGTAATTGTTTTGGTTAAAGTTCCTCTATGTTATATTTATTCCCCCTCCTATCCACAGACTAATTGTACATATGAGAACTAGTTCGGACTAAATAGAGACTTTGAGGTATTATGATGGTAACTATTAAGAATGGTAAGTAAGAATGTTTTGTTTTGGTGTAAGCAATACTGTGGTATGTTTGGGTCAGTAATTGTTTCTAGCTAGGTTTAATTATATAACAGATTGAATTCTAACCTTCACCTATCCCCGCCTTTGAACTTGTGGCACATTTTTGTATTATTCAAAATGAATATTATTTTCCCCTTTGGTACCTAGACTTTATGACTTTATGCGCATTACTAGATTGGCAGTGAGGTCTCATCATTTTACAATTGAAATGGCTAGATATAAACATAAGTTCTATGCTAACGGTTTCTTCTATCGCACTTCTTACTTGTGAAACTCGCTACCAGCTTCTAGCTTCTCAGTAAACTTTGATTTTCAAAATTTAAATGTAATGTCAGTCGTTATCTTCCTTCTTAACTCCAGTTGTTTTTATTGTTCGCTCGCCTTAATACTGTTTATTTCTCATA